GGGGGAGGGCGCAGTTCTGCGCATGCGCCGCGAGAGTGCGGGCGCGGCGCCTGCGCGCGGGGCAGCGCGCGGGTGACGTCATCAGCCGTTCGCTTTGGGGCAAATGGGGGGTTTTCGTTAAAGCGCGCGTGGGGCTGTCCGCGCGATGCGGGGCGGCGGATGGGGGCTGCGCGCGCCGGGCCCGCGTTGCGCTCTGCCGCGTGCATGGGCCAGTGTCTGTCTGTGTGTGTGTCTATGTGTGTATATATATATATATATATGTATGTGTATGTATATGCCTGCCTGCCTGCCTGCCTGTCAGTGCGTAGCCGTCCGTGCAGCACCACGTGCGCGGCCCGGCGGGGTCTCGCGGCGCGGGGCCGCGGCCGCGGAGCGGTGACTGCCCCGCGTGTGCAGCCAGGGCTGGGCGTTATCTGTGTGGCGTTATCTGTGCAGGGCCTTGCAGGGTGCGCTGACATGTCCGTACAGAAATACACATGCATATCGGTGCACGCCAGCATTTACATGCATATGTATTTGTATGCCTGTGTGTATATGCACACATACACGTGCATGTGCATAATAAAGAATAGTGTAAATAAAGTCATGTGGCAACATAACCTCCCTTTCCGTGTGAGCAATAGGAATGCGTTTGGCGATTCAGTGGTTGAATGTGATTCACAGCTCATTTATTTAAGTGAAGAAGTGTATATAGCATAGATCCCAGGACTTTTATTACAGCTCATCTCACATACCCTTTGCTGCACAAAGGGAAAGGGTAGGATTTTCAGCTTTTGCAGGTGGCAACAGAAGCGACTTGCTTTTGCACATGGCAAACATATATGATAAAAATTGTGGCACTAGCAAACTGAGGGAGCTGCATGGCTTTATGCTGAGGGGAAGGGAACTCTTTTTCCTTTCCTTTGTATGGAACATGTAAATATTGTTTATAGAAAGGGATTAGCTTAGCTTAAAAAGCAGCTTTTTTTTTTTTTTTTAATCACTTAATAGTTAAAGAACTCTTGTGATAATAGGGTGCCAGTTGCTTGTTGGCAGCGCGTGAGGCTGTAGCCGTCGCGCTGCAGGTGCCTGCGAGCGGCTTCGTACGCCCGTTTGTGTGTGCAACGTGCTACTCAGTGGGGTCAGGGTATGGTAATGCCTCCCCTCTGCTTTTCAGGAACTGTATTTCAAGAATCTCTCAAAACAGAAGCAAAAGGAAGTCATGGAGAAGAATGGGAGCCACCACAAACTCCGTGTTTGTGTGGCCACATGCAATCGGGCTGATTACTCCAAACTGGCTCCCATTATGTTTGGGATTAAGGCGGAACCGCAGTTCTTCGAGCTTGATGTTGTGGTGCTCGGGTCACATCTCATTGATGATTATGGGTAAGACGGACGGTTTTCGTGTCTCCACCATTCTGTTTCTGGCCTCTTAGCGTGAACTTGACAGCAAAAAATGTTGTTTCATGAGTGTACCTAACCACATTTGACATCACTTTTTCCACGAGCTCCTCCTGGGATTTTGTGTGATCCTTCAAGGCAGCCCTGGCCCAGGATGCGGTTTGGTCGCGCGCTGTGGGGTGCCCCGCGCGAGCCCAGCCGCCCCGAGGGAGAGGCCCTGTTGAGGCAGGCTTCCTCAGGCCGTTCCAGCGAAGGCAGGCGGCCCTTCTGAACCTTCCCAGGGAACCGAACCCACAGCCGTTCTCAGGTGAAGCCCTGCTGCTTTGCAGAGGAGTTTGTGACAGTTTGGCAACTATTCAGGAACCTGACCAGGCAGGGGGATTGAATAGGAGTGAATACATATATGACCTGACAGGAAAAGGGGAAGACAAAGGCTGACATGGCTTAACAGCAGGGTAAGGGAGATTGTTAGGTGTGAAAGTACACCTTCAAAGTTGTGTCTGACATGGTGGTGGAAACTGGCCAACCTCAGTAATGCAAGCCAAGGAGCTCCTGGGCAAAGGCACCTCCACCCACAGTACATTGCTATTCAAACATATCAGGAAACAGCACTAGAGCTGGTAGAGGAATGTACCAGATGGCAGAGTTAGTGTATGATTAACACTCAAAGATGATAAAACCATTACTTCAAAAGTTATGTTGTTTCTTTCTGTTAAGTGAAGGTTGTGGAGAGGAAGGCTGGTGATGCAGAAGGCCCTCACAGAAGTATTCAGTCTTGAGGAGCAGGTGGAGTTTGGTGCAAGGAAATGAGGTGAAGAAGCAGCCAGACGTTTTGCTCATGCAGTGCAGAGAGCTGATGGACTGTCAGTGCCCCAGAGTGATGCCAGGGACATTGCACGGAGAGGGCCTGGGAGACCTCACAGCAGTGATAAGCAGCTACCCAAAGTGAGGTGGAAGACCCAGAGTGACCAAGGAAGGAAGAGCCAATGGGAAACGTGGTTAGGTCACTGTGGGACTCCAGGGGGTGCCCACACTCTTGGGCATCGTGCTGGAGTGCCTGCCGTTCTCTGCCTCTCTCCGGAAGGATACTGGAGTGGGAGAGGTGCAGGAGGAGGCAGCAGCAGCGATGGCCGGAGCTGTGGAGCAGGAGTTGAGCTAATGCTGCTGAGTACCTCTGTGCACTGCAGCCTTGAACCTAAGGATAGGAAAAGGTCTGCAGATTCACAGGCTTGTAGAAAATGAATGGGAAGTGATAGGTGGCTGTCTGTCCCCGGTCGTGAGCTGGAGACAGCTGGTGACCTGGGAGCATCACAGAATCAGGGAAAGAGAAAACGGTTCTTTACACAATGTGTGATTGAGCTGTCAGATTCTTTGCCACAGGTCATTGTAGACACCTGTGGTTTAAGCTGAAAAAGTGTCCAGACAAAATCGCTTCAGGAGTGCTTGTTATCTGCGAGGAAGCTCTGCACGCCCCAGTTGCAGTGGGAGGAGATCTGCACATGCTTCTCATGCCATTCTGCGCTGGGCACTCACCCATGGCTCGTGCTCAGACCCAGGAGAGCTGTTTGCATGTTGCTGCCTGCAGGGAGCTCACCGGGCTGCGTCGCTGTGTAAGGGGGTTGTACCTAACTCGAGCACCCTTCCTTTCCAGCAACACCTACCGCATGATTGAGCAAGACGACTTCGACATCCACACGCGTCTGCACACCATTGTGAGGGGCGAGGACGAGGCGGCCATGGTGGAGTCCGTGGGCCTCGCCTTGGTGAAGCTGCCCGACGTCCTCAACCGCCTCCGGCCCGACATCATGATAGTGCACGGCGACAGGTTCGACGCGCTGGCCCTGGCCACGTCTGCAGCACTCATGAATATCCGGATCCTGCACATCGAGGGTGGCGAGGTCAGCGGGACCATAGACGACTCCATCAGACACGCGATCACCAAGCTGGCCCATTACCACGTGTGCTGCACGCGGAGTGCAGAGCAGCACTTGATCGCCATGTGCGAAGATCACGACCGCATCCTGCTAGCAGGGTGCCCTTCCTATGACAAGCTTCTCTCTGCCAAAAATAAGGATTACATGAGTATCATACGCATGTGGCTGGGTGAGTAGTCCTTTTCATCATGTGCTCCATAATTGTGTCAAATTAGACCAACTAAGTAACTAAGTTATTACTGTGTTTTCCATGAGGATCTGTTGACCATTGTCTCTGAGGAAACCAGAGGATAAGTAAGAGAAACAAGCTGCTTTTCTGCAGGCTGAATTGGAGATGATCAGGGACTCACTTCTTGCCCCAAACCTCGTTTCTTTGTTGTTTTATTGTTTTATTTATAAAGCTCCTTCAAAACAGTTCAGCTTCTGTTCTGGTTCACATAGCTAGGTCCTCCTGTTGCAGTCCTGAGTTTGGCCATAGCATTGCAGCTCATGTGCCGAGACCCTCCCCATTCAGTGCTTAGACAGTTTGCATTGCTTCATAGTCCATCTTTCCTTCCTCTCTCTTCCTGGGCTCCATTTGAGCAGGTGAAGATGTCAAGCCCCGGGACTACATCGTAGCTCTGCAGCATCCAGTAACCACAGATATCAAACATTCCATAAAGATGTTCGAGCTGACGCTGGACGCACTCATCTCCTTCAACAAGAGAACTCTTGTTCTATTCCCTAATGTGGATGCTGGTGAGTAAAGCAGCTGGTCTTAAAGAATACAAGTTTATTTAGGGAGTACTTTCAAGCCAGAATGCCTCCCCAGCTGGAAACAGCTGGGTGGTCTCAGCATCTGGTGATCACCCGCTGCAGCTCCATTGCAGAACATCTCATCTGCTCATTGTGAGGAGGAAGAGGGAGGTGTGATGCCCACTAGTGACATTTATGCTGCTGACATTTATGCTGCTACATGACACTTACACCATGACTTCTCCAGGGTGTTTGGGGAGCAAACTTAGGCTCAGGTCCAAAACCTATGTGATGTGGATAAAGAAGTAAACAAAGAGCCTTGGGCTGACAGTTCAGTGAACTGCTAACAACTGCTTTGCATGCTGAGGCCATAACAGGAAAGTGTCCTTGAGCCATCTGTTCATGGCAGTGTTTTCCTGCAGGAAGCAAAGAGATGGTGCGTGTGATGAGGAAGAAGGGCATTGAGCACCATCCCAACTTCCGCGCCGTCAAGCACGTCCCGTTTGAGCAGTTCATTCAGCTGGTGGCCCACGCTGGGTGCATGATCGGTAACAGCAGCTGTGGAGTCAGGGAGGTGGGAGCGTTTGGTACCCCTGTCATCAACCTGGGCACCCGCCAGACCGGAAGAGAAACAGGTTTGTTTAACAGCTCCCCAGATCGTTCCCAAGTTCAGGGTGCCTTTTGCTCCAGAGAATAAAGTCAGAGAGAGGCTTGACAAGCATAATTTGGCAGTCTCAGCACCATTCCGGTTTTGACCTGTTTTAAAGCTTCACTGGCTGTTATTTTCACCATGTCACAGAATGACAGAATGGTGGAGGTTGGAAGTGACCTCTAGAGATCATCTAGTCCCACTCCCTTGCTCAAGCAGGGACACCCAGAGCATGTGGCACAGGGCCACGTCCAGGCAGGTTTGGAACACCTCCAGAGGAGGATATTCCACAACCTCTCTATTCCAGGGCTATCACCCTCACAGGAAAGAAGGTCTTCCTCGCATGGAGATGGAGCTGCCTGTGTTTTAGCTTACACCCATTACCCCTTGTCCTGTCACTGGCCACTACTGAGAACAGCTTGGCCCCTTCCTCCCTACGTTCCCTCCCTACATTCATGCACTTACACATGTTAATCAGATCCCCTCTCAGCCATCTCTTCTCCAAGCTAAACAGGCCCAACTCACTCAGTCTCTCCTCATACGAGAGATGTTCCAGTCCCTTAATCATCTTTGTTACCCTCCGCTGGACCCTCTCTAGAAGCTCCACGTTCCTCTCATACCGGGGTGCCCAGAACTGTACACAGTGCTCCACGTGCGGCCTCACCAAAGCTGCATCCTCCTGATGCAGGCCAGGATCCCATTGGCCTTCTTGGCCACGAGGGCACACTGCTCACTCATGGTTAACTTAGTGTCCACCAGGACTCCCAGGTCCCTCTCCGTGGAGGTGTTTTCCAGCAGGTCGACCCCTAATCTGTCCTGGTGCCTGGGGTTATTCCTGCCCAGGTGCAGGACCCTGCACTTGTCCTTGTTGAACCTCATGAGGTTCCTCTCTGCCCAACTCTCCAGTCTGTCCAGGTCCCTCTGAACTGTCAGTGATGTTACTGTGCCTTATACTTTCTTTTGGTTTATCAGTTCAAGTAAAAGGTATTTCCATTTGACAAAATAGACAACTGATGTTTTTCCTGTATAGTTAGTCTGATGTTTGACATGTAAACATCTCTCACCTTGAAAATGCATGGTCAAGCACTTCAGAAAGCATCTCTATTTATGCATTTTTGCAGCCATTCTTATCCTTTAATGTCCTTCAAGTGGCTGACCTGCTGTCTTACGCTCATTTTTTTAATCTAGGTGAAAATGTTCTTCATGTCCGTGATGCTGACACCCAGGATAAGATTCTGCACGCTTTGCAGCTTCAGTTTGGTAAACAGTATCCCTGGTAAGTGTGTTTGCTTTGCTTTGGGCATTGGAGAAAGCAGTGGAGACAAAGGTACTTGAGGTGGTCCATCATGATTACAGGGATATTTTCCTTGCGCTGTTCTGGGCCGATAAACTGTTCTTCATTCTATGTTGTGGCCCATTCGGAATCACGGTGCAGTGAGAGTGTGTATAGATCAATACCTAGAGAGCAGGACGGTGCCAGTACTGTTAGTGATGTGAGTGATGCTTTAAGCCCCCACAGAAAGTCACACGGTCAGAATTTAGCTGCTGTCTTTGTACTGAGTGTCTGGTGCCATGTTTGGTGATACTCCAAGACCAGACTTCCCTGTCCCTGGCAGAGTAATGTCAGTTGTACCCTTTAAAATTGGCTGTGTGAAAAGTACGCTTTTTTATGGACAGTTGGCACCAGAAGCTCTAGTTCTTAGAGCTTTATTATGTGAGATCATGCATTTTATCTTTATTTTTTTCATTTAATTTGCTGGTGTCTTCAATACTCCAGCTTTTCATATTCCATGTTTCATACTCCAAAATGGAGTAGATGACGGACTTTGTCCCTCTGTTAGGTCTAATCTTCAAACTCCTGCATATTAATGACACACCTTCTGTATCATATGTCTGGCTCTACAGGTAGTCTGAAGTGGAGTAGTGCCATGGGAGGCGTGCCGTAATTTTCTAATAAAACATGTCACAGCCTTCTGTCACAGAAAAAAAATGAGTGGCACAGTGTCATACTCTTAATTTTTTTTTGTATTATAGCTCAAAAATATATGGGGATGGTAATGCTGTACCCAGGATTCTGAAGTTCCTCAAATCTATTAACCTCAAAGAGCCACTGCAAAAGAAATTCTGTTTTCCTCCTGTCAAAGATAACATCTCTCAAGACATTGACCATATTCTGGAGACACAGAGTGCCTTGGCAGTGGATCTAGGTGGAACAAACCTCCGTGTAGCAATTGTCAGCATGAAGGTAAATACCCTGCTGTGCTTTTATGGGTTCTGCAGCATTTATGGGGGTTTGTGGTTTTCTTCCTACACTGGCAATGGCTTCATGACAAACAAGACATCCAAAAAGGAGCCACATCCTGGACACACAGGATGCTGCTGGATAACAGCTGAGAGCTAGAAAAGCAGTTTACAGAGGAAGGGAAGTGGGTTCAGGGTGTGTGGATTCAGGGTGCAGAATCCTTGCTTCTCCTTTCACCAGCAGAAGAAAAACGCTTCTGATCTTCTAAGATGTCTCTGCACAGAAGCGTTATGAGACCACACCAGGTCTTGGCAGGCCTTAGTGCTCAGTGAAAGGCATCATCACTGTGTGGAGATGTGGACCATGCGGAGACGGCTTGGAGAAGAGGCACAACCATTCCTGCAGACCTGGAAAACAGGAAAATACTGAAGGAAGGGGGAACTGAGTGCAAAAAGTCTCCAAGTGCACAGAGCCTTTTTCCAAGAGGAGGAGGAAAAAGTGTGTTTGCTTATGCATGACCAAGCTGTAGCGTATTAAAATATCTGGAAGGGAAACTTCCAAAGCCCTTCTTGGTGCCTGGTTGCACTTCAGTGTAGAGGAGAGCTGTAGCACATGAAGAGGGTGGTGGGTGGTGTCTTCACCACTAAACCACCACTAAACCACTTCACCACTAAACAGCTGTGAACAGGTTTCTGTCAAAAAAGTCTCTGAAACCCTGCAGTTACAGTTTGTTGATGCTGAATGATGAAAACAACATGATGATCTTCTGAAATCCTTGTAGGGCTTTGAGTGATTGTGTTGGCTGGGGCTGTTTTCCCTTTGATGTCTGAAAAGAGACAATGGCTTAATGCTGTCTTCAGTATAAGCTACGCTTGGTGCGTATGAACAAATGCCTAGGTACTTTAAGGACTGTTTAAATTTTGAGTCCAAAGTGCTTCTTTTCCTGTGGGGAAAAAAAAAACAAATAGAAAGACTTTAAGGCCTCTGAAATAAGCTTGAAGTGCTTAAGAAGCTGCATGGCTTGATGCTTAAGTCTAGGAGCCTTTTGTGGCTGAATGGACTCCATTCCCAGGCGCTCCTGAGCGCTGCATGGCTTGTGTAGCTCTGCTGTTTGCAGACAACCAGGCGAGTGTCTTCAGCAGCTGCCAGGAAGCTTCTGTTGGAAAGTTGTGCATGGCAGAAAATACTGGTGTCCTCAAAGAGTCAGCAAGTGGGGCTGCCTGGTGCTAAAACACCTGTAAAGGCATCCAGTAATGAAATAAGTGTATAGACCCGTGCAATCATTGGATGATCTAGACCACTAAAGATGAATTTCTGCTTGAACTCGGAAGCCTCAAGCTCTTAGCCAAGATGGGATGAAAATTGCTTTGTGATGGTACAAATGTTTTTTAAGTAATTTTCTAAATCTATTTTGTTTAATAAAAGGACACTTAGGACTGAAGAATTTTAACTCACTGAAGACACTGGTCCTCCTGTTTTGGGAAATACATAAAAACTAATCCTATAATAATGATTTGATTGAAACTGGTGTCCAGAGCTTTTTGGGTTTTATTCTCAACAGTCTTGGATATTTACCCCTGATGTCATGCTGTGGGCCCCAAAATACCTAAAGCAGCCAGACACAGCTGCCGCCTCACACAGTGGAAGGGCTGCGCAGGTCGACCTGCTTTGGTCCACATGTCTTTCATTCCCTTAAGAGGAGATTCCAGGCAGATAAAGTTTTCTACGTATGACGTATTTGAAACTAAAGACTGTGTCACCGATAGAAAATAAACTGTACTGAAAAAAAAGAAATCTTGCCTCTTTTGGAGGGTATAGCATGACCTTGCATTTTGGCAGTTAAAATGTTAGTGGTCAGGGTAAAAAAGGAAGGATGGCAACACCATAATGAGTCTACACAACAGCGTTAAGAGTGTGACAGCATGTGGCAGAGTTGGAGGTAGTGTTTTCCGAAATAAAATGACTGGAACTCTGGAAAAGGCCCTTGTAAAAGTTGTGCCTTCAGATGAACTGGTTGCTGCAGCCTTGTCCTCCAATATAAATTCCTCAGATTTCCCCTCCAGACTCAAACCCAGAGGTAAAGAGGAGCCCAAGGTAGAAGGAGCAGTTAACCCAGCTGCCAAAATGGTGAGACCCGGTGCTCAAAGGCCTTCAGGGTGTTGGCGTTTCTGCCAGCGTTGGCCATGTCATGTATAGACATGCGTGGTTAATCCCCGGTCCCATCCTATCCCATCCCATCTGTGGCACTGCCGATGCTCCCTTCTTTGTACACAAACAGGGCAGTGTTCTTTCCTGTTCTGTTTTCAGTCAGCAAAGTGGTGTCTCTGTCTGTTTTAAGTGGACCAGTAGCTGAAAATGGAAGGAACTTTGCTTATGAAGTTCTTTCCCTTAGTGGCAGTTCTGTTGTTCTTGCTTTCTAGGGTGAAATAGTGAAGAAGTACACGCAGCTCAACCCCAAGACCTATGAAGACAGGCTGGAATTAATCCTGAAGATGTGTGTGGAGGCTGCCTCGGAGGCTGTCAATGTGAACTGCCGGATTTTGGGAGTGGGTGAGTTGACATCTATTCTTTTGAGCATCTCACCAAGTGAAATTGCTATACCTTCATTTAAAACACTTTTTTTTTCCGCCAAACAACAGACCATGTATATTTTGATGCTTTTAAATTATACTTCTAGCACAGTACCTTTTTTAAATAGTTGTGAAGATGACAAGCTGATGATAATAACCGAGCTTGCCCTATTCTGTACAGCCTATAAGGCAATCTGCTGATCTCGTAACAGTGCCCAAGGCCTCAGCGGTGCCGCCAGTGCACTTGAGTACCATGCTACCCAGAGAAAAGCTATTTGTGCTGAATTACACACTCTCTAACCACAAGGTTGTGATTCCAAATGCCATGTAGATAGTTCTGCTAAAGTACAGCAGTTCAGCAGATAGCAGAGTGGGCTTTCAAGCTACTGCCGTGTCAGAAATGTGTGGCCAGGTGCTTGGGGCACACCGGGACTGCTCTAGAGGGGCCTGTAGCTGAGATGACCACATTGTCCATCAGGTTTGATGCTAAGAGAAGTGACACCAATGCTTTTTTTTCATGGTACCTACAGAGTATTAGAGACCCTAGACGTAGAGAACTCAGGAAGTGTGGACTGGACAGGTGGACAGTGCGATGGATTGAGAACTGGCTGGATGGCCGAGCTCAGAGGGCGGTGATAAATGGGGCCTGTAGTCAGTGTTGTCCCCCAGGGGTCAGTACTGGGCCCAGTGCCGTTCAGGTTGTCCAGGAATAACTTGGATGAGGCCACAGAGGGCACCCTGAGCTCAAGCTGCACGGAGCAGCCAAAGCTCCAGAAAGCTTAGCTGCCATTCGGAGGGAACTGGAGACTTGGGCGGAGAGGAACCTCATGAGGTTCAACAAGGACAAGTGCACGGTCCTGCACCTGGGGAGGAATACCCCCAGGCACCAGAACAGATTAGGGGTTGACCTGCTAGAGAGCAACTCCACGGAGAGGGACCTGGGAGTCCTGGTGAACACCAAGTTAACTAGGAGTCAGCAGTGTGCCCTCGTGGCCAAGGAGACCAATAGGCTCCTGGCTGCATCAGGAGGATGTTGCCAGCAGGTCAAGGGAGGGGATTCTGCCCCTCTGCTCAGCTCTGGTGAGGCCAAACCTGGAGTATTGGGTGCAGTTCTGGGCTCCCCAAGGACAACAGGGACATTGAGCTTCTAGAGAGGGTCCAATGTAAAGCAATAAAGATGAGGAAGGGACAAGAGCATCTATCCTACAAGGATAGATTGAGTGAGCTGGGTCTGTTTTGTCTCGAGAAGAGAAGGCCGAGAGGGGATCTGATTGATATGTATAAGTTCATGAAGGGGGAATGTAGGGAGGAAGGGGTCAAGCTCTTCTCAGTGGTGGCCAGTGACAAGACAAGGAGTAATGCATGTAAGCTGCAACACAGCTCCATTTCCATATGAGGAAGAATTTCTTTCCTGTGTGGGTGACAGAACCCTGGCACAGGCTGCCCAAGGAGGCTGTGGAGTCTCTTTTTTTGGAGATCTTCCAAACCCACCTGGACGCGACCGGGTGCCCCGTGCTCTGAGTATTTGACTGGATGATCTCTAGAGGTCCCTTCCAACCTTGAACATTGTGTGATTCTGTGAGATAGAAATAATAAAACAACAACAACAACAACAACAACAACAACAACAAAAAGATTAACTGCAAGAGACCTCTATGCAAACAGTTTCACCTGCATCAGTTAATGGGCTTGCACTGGGGGAGAAGATCAGCTCTGCTACAGTCCTCTAGTAATTTCAGCAATGTCATGCTGTCCAGATACAGCTGTAATAGGAGACATAACTTACTAATTTGACATATTTTCTGTAGTAAATATAGAAGAACATGGAAGGTTTACAGAGAAGGAGGCAGGGCACAGACAACGTGTTTCCTGCTCATGGTGCCATGTGTGGCACTCTTGGGATGTGGCCCACAGAGCGGCAGCACAGGCCGCCACAGGAGATCCCGTGCTGCTCCACCACCTCCTCGTACTCCTTTCTACTGCAGTAAAATGCTTTAATCTTTTTAAAATCCTAGGGAGACCCTCACAGAGCTTTAGAGTGTTTCTGGGAGTAACACTGCTAGTAAGTACTTCATAACAGACCTAAAACTTCATCATTTTTCACCAAGTGAGACTTGGCTGTCACAGCTGTATTCAGTGCTCCATTTAGCAGCAGGTCACTTTATGAACCTATTGTGATTTTAACTAAGGAATTGGACTTGCTTTCATAAGGTGTGACACCTTTAGGCAAGTTTCACAGTTATTTAACCCCTGTCTAAGACAGGTGGTTACAATGTTCAAATGCTGTTTACTGGAGCTAAATACTTGCGTTGTAGGGCAGCTTGTTTTTCTGAGGTGCTCTCAGAGGTTGTCAACCTTGGATTCCCTTCTAGTGAATAAAATACTATTTACTGTGTTCCCATGCAATAGACAGCACTCTGCACCTGGATTGGTGCTTTTGTAGGGAAAACACTGTGTTTCTGAGGAGGACTTAGCACTGAAAGTGCTGTGATTATTTTTAGTCATTCCAAATCTGGAAATTTCAAGACTTTTTTACTATTGCATTGTTAAAGCAGTTTATTCAAGACAGTTTGCTATTATACATGGTCTTTAACAGAAGACACATAAAGATTGCACGATTTCCTGCAAAGTTTTCTGAAGTAAGAACATGAACCCGCAATTGATCGGTGCTCTTTCCCATTAAAGATGTTGGGTGCATCGTCCTCCAAGCACGTCCAGTCATGCCTAGAGATTTTTGCTTCAGTTGATTTGAAATCAAAATGAAAATAAAAGTAGTTCGTATTGCAAAGGGGAAAATGGATGTTGACCTGCAGGACTGCTCACGCTTAGTGTTGCCTTCCCTCTCTCTGGCATCCATAGGTATCTCCACAGGGGGACGTGTCAATCCCCGAGAGGGAATTGTGCTTCACTCCACCAAGCTCATCCAGGAGTGGAGCTGCGTGGACCTGAGGACACCGATATCCGATGCTCTGCACCTGCCCGTGTGGGTGGACAACGACGGAAACTGCGCCGCGCTGGCCGAGAGGAAGTTTGGTCACGGCAAGGGCGTGGAGAACTTCGTAACGCTCATCACGGGCACAGGTGGGAGCGCCGCCGCGGCCGCACGCCGCCGCTCACAGCCCCACTGCCCTGGGGCACAACCCGCTGCTGCCGACCAGGCTGGGAGCTGCTCCAAGCGGAACCTTTGGCTGCTGTGTCCATTTGTGCCACCCATGGCACTTCAGTGCAAAGGGAACTTGTGGCATTGCATAAGCTACAGTGATAAAAAGAAGTTCTGCTGCTACGGCTGTGCAGACAAAACATTTTAAGTATGGACCAGAGCAGCCTTGGCTAGAATGATCCTGTGGTTTCATTTTCCAGCTTATGTAATTTTCTTTCAGCTACAGAAAACACAAGCCACCTCAAGATACTTGTCTGAAGTAGCTGCATGAGAACGTAGCATCACAAATTGTGTTTATTATATCCCAAATAGCAGCAAAGCTATCCTTTGCGAAGTATATAGTCCCTTCAGAGGGCGGGAATGATAGCTATGTGTAGAATCCCCACTTTGGATTGGTGAATGGGTGGAAAATTGCATGTGTGAGTGTCTTGGCCCGCTGGCACAGAGGTTACAGTTGTATAACTGTCTAGATTTGATTTTAATGCATCTTCTCTGCAGTGCAAAGTTTTTAATGTTAGCTTTGTGCATGAAGAAAGATTTGTCACAGTAGTTCTGAGGCACCTGCTGGGGCTGCCCCTGCGGGCCTGTCTGAACGTTGTGTATCAGGCTATAACACATGGAGAGGGGGAAGTTCTCAGGTCGCCCCCAGGGCTGTGTTGCACAGAGATGAGTTCCTTGGCAGCCAGTCCTTCCTTTGGTCACCAATGCAGCAGAGCGCCAGCGCGTGCACCTCACCTCTGTTAGGGTAAGCAGATGTGAAAGCATCCCAACTGTTTCTCCTTGCAGGAATTGGAGGTGGAATCATTCATCAGCACGAGCTGATCCATGGTAGCTCGTTCTGCGCTGCCGAACTTGGGCACATTGTCGTGTCTTTGGATGGGCCGGAGTGTCTCTGCGGGAGCCAAGGGTGTATAGAAGCCTACGCCTCTGGAATAGCCCTGCAGAGAGAAGCTAAGAAACTTCATGATGGTATCTATGTGCTTTATCTTTAGAAAAATAATCAGGACATACGGTAGCTGGTGTCATGGGCATTTGGCAGGAAGTTTGGTTTCACAGTGGCTGTTATTCAGCAGTAGCTTCCCAGGCTCGGGCAAGGATGAAAACATTTACAAAAACTGAGTTCACTGAGTTGTGGGACTGACAAGACTAGCACATTTCTGTATTGCAATGTTTATATTTCAGACGTTTGTTCCATGAACAAATCCCGGAATAATACAGATAGGGTGTTCTTGGCTAAGGCCAAGGCTTGGTGGATGTCTCAACAACTGGGCCTCAGAATGCAAGAAACAGAAGTGTAAAGGTCTTAGCTGCCCACCCCTCACCTGCCATTACGGCATTTTCCTTTTGCCTTTCTCCCCCGCCGCACCACAGCGGATCTGCTGCTCGTGGAGGGGATGTCCATGAAGGAGGAGGAGCCCGTGAGCGCCGCACACCTCATTCAAGCCGCGCGGCTGGGCAACGCCAGAGCGGGCGGCATCCTCCGCACAGGTGAGACGTCTCCTGCCTGCCAAGGCCCTGCGCCGCGCAGCCAGACAGTGGACAGCTCCTCCAGAAAGCACTTTATCCAAACTTCCATAAGGTTTTGGAAAGTTATGGGACATTTTCTGATTGGCAAATGAATAGGTAGGCTAAACAAGGGCAACGAGCAATACCCACCTTGCACAGGATGTTTGAGGGCTTACAAGCGTTACACAGCGTCCTCTTTGTTGCCCACGTATAGCTGAGTGATAGGAAAAAAGACATAGTAGAATAATGTTTCCCTTCTTTCTGTTAGACTGGAAGTTTGTTAATGCGATGTGTTATTTTTGCCACATGTGTCCCTGTAGAACGCATTATCCTGCAACAAAATTGCCTTTTTTTTTTTAATTTGGAAAAAATAAGGGCACTCAAGAAAGAAATGGCAGTTGATACTCTCTTTTACCGTAACCTTCTCACTGTGAGTCATGAAGCACCCAGCTTCCTGCTCGCAGCGTTGCTTGCTGCTGACAGCCCCTTTGGGCAGCCAGTGCTCAGGCCATCCTCCGTTGCTCACTGCCCTCCTCTGTGTTGTTTGCAGCAGGGACAGCGCTGGGCCTTGGTGTCGTGAACATCCTGCACACCATGAACCCGTCCCTGGTGATCCTGTCGGGGGTCCTGGCCAGCCACTACGTGAGCGCTGTCAGGGACGTGATCCATCGACAGGCGCTGTCCTCCGCCAAGGCTGTGGATGTCGTGGTCTCAAATCTCGCAGACCCGGCTCTCCTTGGAGCTGCCAGCCTGGTCCTGGACTACACGACACGCAGAACCTACTAGGTACCAGCAAGACACGCAGACGGACTCTGCAATTTCCAGTGGGTGGAGGGGATACCAAATCCGGCATTTTAACTTGACCAGAGCAGCTACTGAATCAGTGTAGGGTTCCAAGTCGTGAGAGACAACTTCAGCAATTCCTAATTGAGGCGATACCTTTTTGTATTTTATTCCTGAATTTTGTCCATATTTTTAGGAAATAATGTGCAATTCTGTTTTTTTTAATCACCGCTCTTCGTGCAAGCCCCAGTGTTGTGTTAAGTGTAGTTGAATTATTTATAAGCATACTATGATGTATTTTGGGTGTACAAATGTACACCCAAGATGTGGGATGGTCTGTCAAATTATAGCTAATGCTTCAGGTCTTGCATCCTACTTCTCATCTATATGAAATGAAATATCTAAAATGTGGGTAACTTTTCCCGTTCTGAGCTGCCACCCACAATTAGCTGTGTAATCACAAGTAGTAGTGCTAGATTCATTGGGTGGAAAGAGGTGTTGCCCCTGCAAACAAAAGGGCTGCATCCAGAAGCTGCGGTTCATGAAGTACCTCAAGTTATTTGTGACAGCACCTGTATAGGGCTGAATCCCATTTCAGGAGCTTGGTACATGAAGGAAAAGGCAGCCTGTCGCCTGCTGAGGGCGCAGGCGGCAGTGCTGTCTGCAGAACGCCATGGGCGTAGCAGTGAGCATCTTCTCTGTCAGCAGCCAGCAGTAAATTATTTCAATTTTATTGCTGTGGGCTTCTTGTCTGCTTTGTTGTGGTGAACCGTGTGGGAAGGGTTTGGTTTCTCATTAACGGGACTCAGCCTGCTACATTTTGTCTCCGGGTGTTACCCCTGGGATGAACTCACAGCATTAGTGGGATGCAGGAGCGGGGAGCCTCTGCCCTTGAGGAAGAAGTTGCCCTTGGGCAGCCCAGGTGCCCAGCAGAGCAGGGGCTGCAGGAGCTGCCTCCTTGAGCTGCGCTCACCACCAGCTGGAGCTGCAGCCAAGCCTGGGGCCTCCGCTTTGTGCTGAGCACGGCAGAGCAGTGCCCGGCCGGCACCCACAGCGGCCACAGAGCTGTGACACGGAGCTGGGACATGGAGCTGGAACACAGTGCTGCCTTTGGCCAGAGCAGTGCCCTACAAGGGCAGGCTGTCCTGGCATCCCAGCAGCGCGGGAGGCCACTGAGCCATCTCCATCACCTCTGGGGGCTTTCTTTGACCAAACCTTCCCCACTTAAATCCCAATCTGTGTGTACCCAGCTGTTCTGTACACAGTGGCACAGCACTGGCAGAGGAACCCGGTGACGCAAGGGAAAAACAAAAAAGCAGACCAGCCCAAGTGATCAGCTGGCCCCAAAGCGGGTCACCTGCCCAAGGGACAGTGACAGCAGTGTCTTCTGCTCTGCATTTAGTGATGTGTGGGAACGGACCCCCACTCAAACACCGCTGCCTGCAAGTCTTGGGCAGTGTATTGATTTCTCCCCAGCAAAGTATGAGGAGGGGGGAGTTGGAGTTGGCAGTTTTCCTGCAGCCAAAAAGAAGCACAGTTTTGATGGTGCCCCTGCCACACAGCAGCCTTGGGCTGTGTTAGCAGATGCAGAGACCCCTGCAGTGACTGCTGCCCAGCTCCAGTCAGTGGAGACACGAGCGGTCTGCCTGCACCCTCTGCTCTGCAGGGGAAGATGGGAGGCTGCGTGTTCCTAGCAGGCCCATGAGCAACACCAGGTCTCCTCCTTGCTGCCCCCAAGAAACCTGCACAGCCTGCTTGCTCAAACCTACCACACCATTCTGTGCATCTCTTAAAAGCAGCAAATAAGGAGATATGGGAAAACAGTATCTTAACAGTTTGCATGGTTCCTGCAGGCGCTGTAGCGCCAGGGGTCTCTCTGTGTCCCTTGCTGATGTGCCCAGTGCCTGTGTTAGAGCTCGGGGTATCTCCACGACAGAGCTGCATGCTCCATCGGAAGCAGCCTTGGGTGGACGGTGGACACAGAGCCTGCCTTGTTCTAGCCTTTCCTGAGCCAACAGGGATGTAGCTTTCGCTTCTGCACCTTGCCCTGCTAATAACACGCTGTTCTCTGACCCCAGGTGCGGCTCTGCTGGAGCGGACAGCAGGCAGATCCCTTGCAAAATGCAGGTGGTCTGGAAAACTTTATCCCGAAACACCTTTGCAGCCATCCCCTAAAGAAAACTGACCTTAAAACACAGTTAAAATTTCTTACCTGGCAGCAGGGTGATAAAAAGCAACTGCCCAGACACACGTGGTGCCCAGGTTCCTTGCAGTTTCACGGCAGGAGCTCTTGGGGCGCCCGGCAGCGCAGGCCTGAGCAGGGTGCCGAGGGGCACGTGGAGTCCACAAGCGTGCGGGCACTGCAGGACGCCCGCCGGCAGCTGCAGGGCCAGTCCCGCGTGCCCGGTGCCCGGCCCAGAGCCCCCCTGCACGGGAAGAGCCCGCTGCCCTCCCAGCCCGGGGGCTGCTCCCCAGCCGTCCACTGAGACGGGATGAAACACGGGGTTGAAATGCAGCTGCTAATGCCCCGTGTTTGGTGCAGTTATGTTCTTGTCTGGCATCAAACCCGGCCTGCCAGCCTCACCACCTGAAAGCACCACCCATTTCATGGCTATTTCTGGTTGATGAGGACTGTTCTTTTTTTAAATTAGCACTAAAAATGTTTGAGAGATGCTGAAGATGACGGAGGACAGCGCACTCCCTGGTTTGCACTGCACACATCCTTGTGGCACGTGCGCGTTTGCCCATTGGCAGAACCAGGCCAGCTCAGATCTGTGGGGAGACACGATGAAGCGGTACAGGGGGCTACGCGAGGCTGCGCTCCGGCCGTGGGAAACAGAGCCGCCGTGCAGCCGAAGAGGCCGGTGCTCCCAAATGCCGGGACCGGCCCGCGGCCCTGCATGTGCCGGCTCCGCTCAGCTCCACAGCAGCTGCAGCGCATCAGCCAGGGCCTCAACACCCCAACAGAGCTGCTGCTGTTGCATTTTCATAGCCTGTGCAATACTCGGTAAAAGCAGGAGCAGAGCATGGATCTGAGGCAGCAGCTTGGAGTCAGTGACCCACCATACCTGGGTAAACAAAAGAGATGGGCTGATGTGTTGTAGAGCCCTCTGTAAGAACTAAAAAGGAAAAACAAAGGGGAGAAGAGGGAGGAGAAAAAAAAAAGAAATGAAAAAAAGTGGGCACCAGGACACACGGAGGTCTGCAGCAACAGTGCTGTGAGCACATGAGGCCACTCGAGTGTCTACAGCCTTGCGTGGCCTTGGGGTTGGCGCTCTTGCAGCTCTCCTGTCGGCTGCTGGCACAGCGCAGCCCTCCCTGGAGCCGCGCAGCGCTTGCCCTGCTCCGTGGCTCCACAGGAGCCCTTCCGCGCCGCTCTGCCGTCTCCTTTCAAACTACTCAAAATACAAATGGTCCTATTAACACACTTATTAGCACACCTTAAACAGCGCCTGTCTGTGTTTGACATAATGAAGTTTTATTTCTTATTCTTGCTGGAGCCTTTGTAGTCTGCAGAGAGCTGAAGGCAGCAGGGCGGCTGGGCAGGGTTAGCACTGGGTGTTGTCGGCTCAGGCAGGGCACAGGGCCACGTCCAAACACAGCCTGCAGCCCTCGTGGGAGGTGGCAGCTGCAGCTCCGTGAGGACAGGGGCTGCCCCGCGGGACGCGGAGCAGGGGTGGCCCTGCGCCGCCCCCAGCCCCGGCTGCCCTGCGCGTCCTGCTCGAGCACCAGGGAGCGGGAAGCGCTGCCAGGCGGAGCAGCGGGGCCACGAGCAGCTGCCAGGGGAAGGGTCTGCTCGCCCGTCCCCGACACGCAGCCCAAGGAGGCCCCCTTGGTTCACCCACAGTCAACACGTGTTGCTGTTTAACAGATCTTTAATATCAGTAATAATGCTGGAAGTGACATCTTGGTGCACAACAGCACGGAGAGACTACAAATTTGGGGTATCCCCATTCCAGAGACAGGAAGGAAACATGAGGAAAGACATGCAATCAAACAATGATCAGCTTTAGATACATTGTGAGGTTTGGTCCAAAAAAACAAAACAAAAAAACAAAACCCCCATTACACAGGAACAATTAATGCAATTACTGCAAGCACGCTCCTCTGAGTAAGGTCAGGGTATTGCATTGGTGTTCCCGCCGCGCTCTCTCAGCGGACCAGGGGAGCCTGCTTGAGCGAGATGAGCACCGAGCGCATGCGGGACACGTCCTTGGCCTGCTTACTAGCCTTGGGGTTAAAGTCACACAGCTGGGCCACGCGCTCCCACTCGGTGCCGGGAAACACGTCCTCCGCATCGCTCACAAAGGCCTCCTCGGCTGCCCTGCAAGCAAGGCAAGGCAGGGCGCATTAGCGGCCGTCCCGCGCCAGCCCCGCCACGGCGGCGGCCCCCGCGGCGCCCACAAGCAGCACAGACAGCAGCGGCAGAGCGCGCACGGGCACCGCCGCGCACAGACACCACCGCAGACACGGCCACTACAACACCGCTACGCACCACACTGAAGGGGCAGCGAAGAGTGTACTTAACTGTTCTAGGCTGTAGCAAGGATGGTTTATGTTTGTGCTTAAAGGTGAAGAGAAGAAAAGAAACAAGGAAAGTTTAAGTCAGGTATAGAAAATGAGAATGAGCTTGTGCAGATGATGAGCTAGCTGAGCATGCACTTGTAGCTTGGCCTGCATGGAGGAAATGCTGCTGCTCACATTGCGCAGCTCTTGGACTGCACATTCACACTGAAAACGGAGTCTTAACAGAAAGCTTCTCCAAGGCAACTCCAGGAGACTTCGGAACAAAGTCAAACACGATCTGCAGATGCAGCATTTCACAAGCCTTGCTTCACATCCACCTACAGTTAGTCAACCAGTGACACACTTGGCCGGCCACTCTAACTCAGGCCACTAACTCACTGCCACATCACACATCTAGAGCTGCCCTGGGCCTGCGACACGAGCTCAGCATGTCACAAGTTGCTCCTTGCCAGCTCCCCTGGCTTGCTGGCAGCCATGTGCAAGGCTTGCTCTAATATTTTGGGCAATACATGGACAGAGCAGCACGGACAGAAGTTTCGTACCCACCATGGGAATGCGGAGTAGACATTCCTGTTGCCTATGGAGGTGACTGAGGCGGGATGCAGCACCCAGGGCAGGTTACCACACATCAACCTGCAGAGCCAGCAGAACGTCCTGCAGAGCGGCCATCAGTGTCCTAGAGACACCCGCAACCGCTGCAATCTTCTACAGACCACTGCAGCAACGGCCCAGAGAGCAGCGCTCAGCAATCCTGATGACTCCACCCCAAAGTGACTGTGGGCAACATGCACTGCAGGGGACCCCTCCAGGAAAACTGCACTTAATGCTGCAGGTCAGAGTCACTCCAGCAAGTCATGGCTCTTTACCTACGGTAGTCACTGTTGGCACCAAGCACTCAGCAGGAGTCACCTTCAGGTATTTAGCACTATTTCTGCTAGTCGGCTAGATAATGAGGAGGATCAGACAGAATTAGTAGTTAAGCAACATACACATAACCAATGAGGTCAGCGGAGGGTTGTTTGTAGAAAGCTTCATCTGCCACCCTAGGTAGCAAGTTGTCCAACAGGCAGGCAAGCAGGCAGGAAAAAAGAGACAAGGATGAGAGGTACAGAACACAGCTGAAGGCAATTTTAACAGGCACATTGGCTGGCACACCCACTGCCCCTGTGAAAGCCCCTGCCCTTGGCAGGCAGCAGCGGCAGCTCCGGCCAAGCAGCTGCATCGGAGACGGGAGATGTGCTACGTCCCCAACTGGGGCCGGGGCCGTGGCCTGGAGCCGCAGCAACACGCACGGCTCCTGCTGCACAGGCCCTGCTCCCAGCCCCACCAAGCCATGGGGCCACCACCAAGGGTCATCACTCCCGAGAAGGGGGCCGTGACTCTCTATTGGACCTCAGCTTGCACAGCCAGCAAAGCATCCTCAGAAACATGACCCTTGGCCCCACTGGCCCTCTCTTTCCTCAAAGCTGTGGTGTAACTCTGCTCGTTTGGGAGAAACCAGTGGAGCTCAAGTTCCATGGGTTCCCAAGGCTTAAGGCCAGCCAAATGATTACCCGGAGAGAATGGCACTGAAAACTCTTACATTGGAAGTGCAGTTCTAAGTGATTTTAAATTGATATCATCATGTTAACTTTGACTCAAAATCCCCCAAGGGCACCTCTAAGACAGTCTAAAACTTTTTTAGACCTGCAGCCAGATCTTACAACTTCCAACACCATCATTCGTAACAAGCCAATTCAAACCCTGTATCTAATGGTTTAGATAGAGCCAGCCTTTATTTTTGTGCCGGCAGCATGGAGCCTGTTATTCCTCCAGCACTTCCAGGGGCAGGTGCCAGGGCCCTCACAGCATGGGACAGTGCAGGGTGGCAGGGGCCACTGAGGGGCTATGGCACGAGAAACAGGCAAGCAGCTGGGCAGACTGTGCAGCCTAACCAGACAATTTGAAGCCTCGCACCTTAAAAAACTTTCAGTACCTCCTTTATCACGGTGTTTTCACTAACTATCCTTAGGCATTCCAGCTAGCTTCTAAGGAAATCACGATCTGTCCTTCCAGTGGGGCCCGGTCCTGTCAGCAGCAGGGCAACGATGGGAGTCTCGAGCCCTTCTCCTCCAGCACTGCCACAGGCAGCACTGCAGCTCTGCAGACAGCTAGGGGCTCCTTACCTGTTGCTGGCTTTTGTTTTCTGGAGCTTTTCGTCTTGCCTTGCATACCACTCCTCCAACTCCTGTATTGCCTTCTCCTTCCACTCCGCTTCCTGCTTTCGCGAGTTAGCATCTGCAGATTCAAGAACTGATTTGTCAGTCATGTTAACAAGACCCAACTGGAGCAGACGTTTCAGCAGACGGCGCCGGGTCCCAATGAGTTCAGTGCAGTCGTTTAATCCGCAGCGATAAGAGGGTTATCGATTTAGAGCATTAAAACTCTAAATATCTTAACACTCTGAGCATTAGCTAATCAAAATGCCTGTGCTGCTGACTGAGACAGCTCACTTGAGTTCACACCAAGTGGCTGCATCCTACTCAGTTGGTAACCCTTCGCCTGCAAATATTCCAGAACAGAAAGCGGATTTAGCTGCTGGCACCAGAGCAGAGTTGGAGGCAGTGTCTGTGCTCAGAGAGGACAAGGCAGGGCCGGGAGCCCAGCTTGCTTTCAGGTCCTACAGTGGGAACTCCCCATATATATCAGCCTGCAGACACCTAGCACAGGAAGAGGGCCTCTCACCCAGCTCCAACCACAACCGGAATGCTGGAAGCCACATCATCGTAGTGTCTACTTCAACTACCTCCCTCCTTTCAATGGGAAACAGGACCGTTTGCTGCTGTCCTGTGCAGTGCAGGGCTAGTTACCACCGCACTGACAACAGCCATCCTCAGTTACTAGTCCGTTGCGTATTTTAGCTGGTAGGTTAAGATCCCTGTAGTAACAGATGGCCTCAATGGCCTCACCAATCACGAGCAAACACTATCCTTGGGGGAGGGAGGAGAAATAAACAGGAGCAAAAGGAGGTGTTTGCTGAGCTTAAACTCCTGCTTGAGCTGGTAAAAGCTGTTCCGTTTAGGGCTGAGCAGCTTCTCGGCAAGCACAGAGCAAGTCTCCTGCCTCAGCGCCGGGGGAGCTGCTTGCTGCTCGTCCAGCTGTCAGCACCTGCCCCCTTACGAGGGGGCTCAGCCCCCTGGAGCCCACGGCCCCAGAGGCCTGCCGGGTTTCCAGCAGCGTGGGAAGCCCAGGCGCTCCACAAGCTGTCGCGCAGAAGCAAGAGCTGCTATCGCAAAGGAAGCGCCCTCCTTACCGAGCTGCTCCAGGCGCTCCTTCTGCTCCTCCCTCCACTTACGGATGCTCTCCGGTTCGGACTGCAGACGATCCACATGAGATATGGCCGCATAGCAGTCTGTGGGACCATTGCTCTCCTTTAAGACAAGGCATGGGAGTGTTACACACACGTTAAAACCACACATCTCAGCTGCCAGCCTGCACACAGCATAGAACTAGACAGTAAGTGAACTGAGCACATAGACACTCCGTAGGTGTTAAACTACATTTTTACTATTAAGGTAAGAAATCGTGATCACAAATTAGAGCAAGTTTTAAGCAAATTAATATAAGGTTGTCTTTGGTGACTTGGGAACAAAATTTGAAGCAGAATGGGAAACCCCACTAAAACAGAGCTTCACACCTAAAGAAAAGCAGAAGGGAGCCGTAACCAGTGCCTTAGCATGCAACTGCAGGCTCTCAGGTTGTCTACTTCAACTCATCTTAAATACTGGCTGTGAAAATAAATATTTTGAAACTTCCATTATTGTGCATGGGACTTTATAGCTGCACTCCATTACTTTTGTTCATCTCCCTCTTAAGAGAACCTTACAAGTCTTAATTAAAAGTTAACTTCCTGTGGAGATATTACATAATCTGGAGTGCTGTAAGCAACTTGGAACACAGGATGCAGCTCAAAACTAAGTGTCAGAAGAGTGCACATGCTAGGACATATTCTAACAAAACACATGCGCAACTAGCAAGGCTGTTGTGAGTGGACCTGCCTCCCAAACTTGCTGATTGCAGTATTTGCCACAAAGGGCAATTCACCGTCTCATCCTTCTGCAACAGGCCTTGAAACACCCACTGCACAAAGCAACAGCTGGATCACAGCCGGCACAGGGCTGGGTTGTGCCCCGTGCGGGGGCTGCAGAAGCTCCACTGAAGAAGTGCAAGCCGCAGCAGATTAACTGCCATAACCCAAACTTCATCTGGAACAAAGACGGCGCAGACTGCTTCAGGGACAACTGAGTTACAGCAGCTAAAGCAGAAGTTATCTACAAGAGCCCTTTTCCATCAGTGAGCTCCTCAAAAGGGCAGTCTCAGTAAGACAAGCAGGATGTATCCTCACAGATTAGGCATACAGAGTTTGTTGCATGGAGCTCAAAAGCCATAAAACATAACCTGTCCGTCACCCATGGCGGCTTCGTCGTGCAAAGCCATAATTTGAAATAGACAGCTGCTCTAAATTGACTTTGACCACATTAGAAGCATTAATAGCTCTGAAATGAGGCAAGAAATGTTCCTCTTCAAGAAGGAGACAAGTAGGTTAGAGAAGTCATGGAAAACGCTTGTTTAGGTTAAGGCTGCAGCACAGTATAACAACACATTGAAAATACAAAATAATGCTGTCTTACCCGGTAAATATCTCCATTCACCACTCCTTCAACACCTGTAAAGAAGTGACTACAGTTTAGCGAGCACCACAACTGGTTCACAGAGCCCGACCGCAGTATCTCAAAGAGCAGCGATGCCAGTGATGGTCCCTGAGAACCCGCAGGACAGGCTCCCCTTCCCTGGGAAGCCTCATTGCTCTGAGCAGTGCTGGAGATGCCTCCTGCTCATGCCAGGCTGCCCTGTGGGCCTGGCCCTGCACAGGCTGGCAGGCCCCGCTCCCACAGCTCCTGTTTCCACCCGCAAGACCTCTGGGCCAGCCCTCACCCAACTATTTATCACACTCTGGTTACCTCCTAACCAGGTCTAAAGCCATAACTAATATTTGGGACAAACACTGCTTTCAGCTGCCTTCTGTGGTGGCATCTTGGAGACCTTCCTGCTCCTGAGCGTACCGCAAGGTTCTTCCTTCCAAGAGACAGAGCGGGAGCACCGTCACCACACCTGAACAGCGTGGGATTTAATCGTACAAGAAGGGAGCAGCATAAGCCAGAGCGCCGGAGCGGAGCTGTGCAGACGCCAGGCACCCGCAGAGGCGCTGAGGCAGTGCGGCCCGGCCGGGGCTACGCGCAGTGCTCACGTCTGTGCCCTCACCCCAGGAGACAGGGCCGCGAGCAGCCGCGCGGCTGGGCACTTCATGCACCCGAAACTCAGAACACCGCGCTGCTGCATCCCTGCCTCATCCGTAAGGCCACGGATGCGCTGGCACAGAGCGCTCCTGGGTCAGGAAACCGGCACAGGTACCAGCAAGGGCTTTTCCCTGAGCCAGCACACACAGGAGGCCACAAACACATCCGTGCTAGAAGGACATTTAGACTGTGAAACAGCTCCCCTTGATACAAACCAAAGGAGAAACCAACCCACACATGCACTGGCTTCAGAAGGAGAGAGACTCTATCCAAGCACATGAATTAGGAGAAGACAAGAACAAAATACACTAGCTTTTCAGTAAAGGGAGGTGCTATTTTGTGACCCTGTGTCTGAAAGATGACAGTTACTCCATGTGCTGGCTGCGTGTCTGGAAGGTGCGGCAGCCAAAAAGAACTTGTATGAGAGGCACATAGGGGCGACTGCATCTGTTTGCTTCAGGGATGTGGCCTGGAACACCGCTGCACACCAAGCTGGAAATCTCCTCATCCCTTTGCTGCACACACACCGACCTGGGCAGGGAGGGGCAACAGCCTTAACGGCACCTGAAGCCCGCACTGAGACAAGCGCGGCTTCCATTCCGCTCCACCCGTCAGCCAGGGGTGCCCCTCCACACGGCGGG